TAAATATTAAATAGATTTCATATATCAGGAGTATATATATTTTTGAATTGTCTACTAAACTTAATTTTTATGCATTTCCTGTGTTAGGAAAACCACAGGTAATTGTTAAAGGTACCACCACCCCCCCCCCCCTCCCCCCTCGATATTCAACCCTAGGGCTTATTGGACATTTTTTTCACAAGTTTTATTTATTAAACTTATTCATCATGTATACAATAACAAAAAATTGTAAAATCCCCAGAATAATCGCTCAACACCCCCCCCCAAATACCCACTATACATTATAAGAGACGGATATGCCACTCCAGTCTGTTTACGTTGTACCCCCACTGGTGTTAAATGCATTTATTTTGTTTTAACTTTATATGTCGATTCACACTGTCTCTACATATACAATGTATTTCCAGGGGCGGATCCAGGAATTGAAGTTAGGGGGGCGCCAGATTCAGGCAGGGGGTCTGGGGGTCGCCTTGAGGCCCCCAGTAGGTCCAGGGCAAAGCCCTGGTGGGGGCCCAGGGGGCGAAGGCCCCGGAAGCTCTTGGATTCTAGAGGTTTTGTAGGGTAAAAATGAGGTCTACCGATTAGACATTTAAAACATTTTCTCGACAAACTATGTTTTATGCTAACTTGGACAATTTTAAGGGGGCGCGCGCCGGGTGCGTCCCCCTTAAATCTGCCAATGATTTCTGTCTTAGTCCATGCTATCGGACTGACTCTGCATCACGTAATAATCCCACATTTTTTCCGTAAACAGCTTTCTTTCTTGTAAAGTGGGGTAAGAAATAGTGTTTTTTTGGTTGAGCGATTATTCTGGGGGTTTTACGCCAGCGATTTTTTTCGTATTGTAAGGCTACACATAACAGAGAAATAAGCCCCGGGGTTCAATATCAAGGGGGGGGGGGGTCTTGTCCACAAGTACCTGTGTTTTTCTAAAAATTAAGACAAGAAACATGTATTGACGTAAGCGTCAAAAATCGGCCGCAAACCAATTAATGTTCCTTTTATGAAGCAACTAAAGACTATGGTGGTCTGTTTTTAAAATATCTTATATTTATCTTTTAATATATATCCTCGTGATATTAAAAGTTTGTGCTCTACATTGCATGATTTTCTTAATTATATAATGCATGTTCAGTATTAACCCCTGGTACTCTGCGTCAACAACTTTTGAACCGTGGGCCTGTATGGCATTTACATTAAAAGTTTAAAACTAACATTAAATGTAATCTACAACTAGATATGCAGTGTAGTTTAATTTAATAAAAATGCAGCAAATATGTTGGTATCCTTGCTCTCTCTTAGAGGAAAAAACTAAACTCCCTCTAGATCCGCCACTTCATTTCTTCTCTTTGAGTTGTAGCGGGAAAATTCTTGGCACATTGTAAAACGTGCATTATCCTCGTCTGCTAAGGGCCAAATCTTGTAATATTTTGTAGCCTGCTAAGTCTTTTAATGAATTTACATTTAACCATATTTTTCAAAATGTTTATATGTGTACATATGTACACGTCATTTTAAAATAAATACGTACAACAAATCCCGTTTGAATAGAGAAAGTAAAATTGTGTAATATACATAACGCGGTCTTTGATTTAGACTACGCCCAACACATGTCTTAATTTTCTCCGCACTTCAAACATATCTAAATTTCTCAGTCAGTATTGGATGAATTATTTACCTCATTCTTCATAAGAATTTTTAATTTTATGTTTATTGTGCGTTTTTCTTTAACCTTAAGACCGTCTTTTTAATATACTATTATATTAATGTTAAATATTTTTTATTTAAATTGTTTTAACTCCGCAGAATCGCACAGCGACTTCGAACTTTCATATCATATAACCGACCATCTCCTGGCGGCCGGTAAATTGTCATCAAGACAAAAATATAATTATATACTCCTGATATATGTAATCTACTTAATATCTAAGAATCTATGATATAAATTGAAATATTCATTGCGGATCAAAAATCCATTAATTATTTAAATTTCCCTCTAATATATATAACACTTTTTCTTGCATTGTAATTTAATGAAATGACCCATTTGATATAATTATATTGAATTATTTCTTGATAG